GGGCCTGCCATGTTGTTCAAGCAGCCTGCTCTTCCATACAGTGCTTTTATATTCAGATTGTGCCAGCACAGATTACATTGTGTTTCAGTTTTATAACATACAGTTTCTAACAAATTCTGTTGTGGTTTTGCTTTATTTTCTCTTCTAGATGTATGTTACGGGTGCTAGATTCCTTTGGGACTGAACCAGAGTTTAATCATGCTCACTATGCCCAATCTAAGGGCCATAAAACGCCATGGGGGAAATGGAACCTTAATCCACAACAGTTTTATACAATGTTTCGTAAGTTAGTCTTCTCATTAAAATAACTCAGTATCATTCACAATTTATGCTTCTCTTAGGAGGATTTTTCATGCTGTCTCCAAAATTAAGCCAACAATTAAATTAGTTCCTTTGCCTCTAGTTGAAATTTTGTCTCAGCTAGTAGTTTCTTGCTTAAAATAGATGTGTGTTGTTGAGGTTGGGGAAATAATGCATTTATCCAAAGGGAATACTACTTTTTTTTTAATTTCAAATATGCACTTGGAAGGGTGCCTTAGATCCCTGAAGAATGTGATAAAAAAACCAGCAGGTCTGTGAAATCTCCCTTTTGGGGTGGGGAACAGATCATGATGTTTCTATCCAGTAAGTATAGACCCTTTATCACGCTTCTGCCAAAATTGTTTTGTCATATTTCTGATTTCATCTAGAGATCATTTTATAGCCCCTTCCCAACCTCTTGTGGTTTACTTTAATGTGGAGCTGATAACTGATACCAACCCCAATTGCAAGTATAATTTCAATCTTTCACTCTGAAAACCTTATGTAATAAGATAATCCCAGTTTTTTTAAAGGTGGGAAAATAATGTTAAGATAAGGAGTTCTAAGGAGTTTGTTTTTAAATTTTTTGCAGAAATAAAAAGTTAGTTTGATTTAGCTCAATATGTTTCTTAGCAGTGTACTCAACTCAAGCATTTGATGTTTGTTTCAGATGTTCTTCCTGCTTCTGAAGTTCCACAGTAGTTGTTTCTTATGACCTTAAAATAGGTCTAATATAACACCAAACAAAATCCTTTGTGTATAGAAGACACATCAGAGAATGCTTAATAAGGTTACAATTATTTCCTGTTGAAGATGTAGCTTAGGAGTTGAAACTAAGTCATATTTGGACTTGTTCTATTATTGCCACATTTTGGGTTTAAATTCATAGGATTTTTAATAAGATTCTGGATTGAACATTGTGGCTTAAAAATATATACACTTTTATTAGATATTTAGAGAAGTCCAAGAATTGTGGACTTTGGAGCATGGGAGCTGGCTAAAAGCACTACTATACAGTAGCAGAAGGAGAAATCTGCATTGGATTTACTTCAGTGGATTGTTGCTACATGATTCCAACATTTGAATTAGGTTGTTTGTAATGGGAAAGTAACATGACCTTGAAGCAATATGGTTGAAATTTGGAGTTGGTCTGTTGTAACACAGTTTTCCAAATGTTTTTCCTTACTTTTTTGTATTATTATTATTATATTGTTATGGTTGGTCGCATAGTCAGCCAGATGTTTAGGCTGGATTTGGCATTTTTATCCACCTATCAAGTCTTTCCCAAA